GATATGTGGGGGCGTGTTAGAACGAGCCGTTTTAGGGGGGCGTGGCAGAGTCTTAACTTTGATAAAGAATATCTCTGTGGTTTTGAGACTTTAGTCTTTGCAACTTCAGGGATCTTATCTACGCAAAATCAGCTTGTAACACTCCAAAGAGAAAGGAAAACTTGAAATCGCATATGACCCCTTTAACAAGTAAACGTGAATAACTAGAAAGGTCATGGAAAGTGTAGCAATGAATGCGGTTTTTGCTGTTCGGACAGTGTGTCAGATCTGTGTCACATGTGAGTGGAAAAAAATCCGATTTAAGGCACATTTAACAGAGAGAGAGAGAGAGAGAGAGAGAGAGAGAGAGAGAATGAGAGGGTGGAGAGAGAGGGGAGTTGAGCCTGGGCGTGTGGGGAGGGATGTGGATGCTTTCACAAAGGGAAGGGCAGATTTATACATTCATACGTAGCTCCTTACACTACATCTACATTATATCCTCCAGAGATCCAGCAATTTTTTTTTCTCAGTGTAATGTACATATTTTATATTCTTATATAATATAATATAATATAATATAATATAAAACACCTGAAACCCTACATAGGAGAAGTGGTTTGGAGAATAATATAATATAATATAATATAATATAATATAATATAATATAATATAATATAATATAATAAAACACCTGCAACCTTAAATGGGATAAGCACTTTGAAGAATGATTAAATATAATATTATATAACATCATAATTTTAGTTTTCTTTTTCTTTATCTATATATAAATAACATTAAAAAGTTTTGCGTTTATACACTATATAAGCATTCATATTTGATGAATCTAGGGTAGTCTTAGAAAGTTCGAATCGGTGCCCAGTGCAAACCGATTTGTCTCTGGGAAGCACAGTGAGTGGGCACACTTGGTTGAGACATAGTCTGTGCGCGTGTGCCAGTGCATGCCAATGAGGTGCCACTGACAGACACATATTGTACCAGAGCCAACTGGGCGGAATCATGGGAACCCATGAATAGCTGCCTGGGGGTGGGTCGGGAGACCAGGATGGCAGCGCTTACAAAGCCCTATTGAGGTTGGCACACCGGGCACTAGACTGGCACTGAATCAAGTGACATGTGGGGGATAAAGAGTGCAAGGAGGCAGGAAGCATTATCCTTCATACAAACCGATGAAGCATAATGGAGTATTACTCTATGCATTGTATATGGACCTGTAGAATGACAGTTAAAGCGATCTCAACCTTTGTCAACCACCACAAACATCCTTTTGCCCCCATATTCAATGCTTACTCAAAACAGCGATCATGTCATTAGAGTACACATTAGAGAATACTATGGAAGTGAATAGGGTCCAGAAACTGTTGCCCACATTCTTCAAAATATCTTCTTTTATGTTCATCAGAACAAAGAAACTCAAAAAGTTTGGAACAACTTGAGGGTGAGTAAATGATGGCAGAATTTTTGAGTAAACTATTCCTTTAACTGTCTTTGTGATCCTATTCAATCACCACCAAATTTGACATTGATCTTGTTTGACACATGCTTTAACATGCCCTACAGTACTGGTACCGTATGCTGTGTTCACTTAACATGCAGTGCTCAAAATCACGTTACATGCTTGTCTTTTAATAATAGCTTTAAGGCATATGCAAATATTAGGCTTGGTGAGTGTTAAATGAGCTATATCATTGTTTTTTTCAGTGTTTTTTCCCCCCATTGAGGTTATTAAAATATTTTGAATCTATCTAGAAGTAGGCGTTAATTTACATCTCCATTCAGTGTGCAGAGATTCAATAATAAAGCATGTCTTATGCTTTTATAGACAAATAAGTGCTGATTTCACAATGCGATTCAAATTACGCACTTGGACATTTTTTTTTCTTAGCTTGTGATATGCAGTACATCCCACAGAATAGCAGAGATGCCAGTCAATGAAACGTACAGAAAGAGGATCCATTGTCCCTGGTGAATTTTCTGAATTCTGTGAAAAACTGGTTTCTGCCATATACACTTGAAGCTGAATCTTGTAAAGAAAGCACTGTGATGAAGGCTTCCTCTTGACTTTTTAATAAAAACGGATGTGTAGGTAGTTCTATGAATCTGTTTTGAGCAGCTGAAGAGAGAACAGGAAATTGTCAGACAACAGGGGAGCTCTGTCTAGTCTATCTCCATGGTCACCACAGAAGCGTAACTCAAAAGTTCAGATCTTAATGCAGGCCTACTTCTAATTTGTATGTGAAGGCTTCTCTCGCCCTCTAGTGCTTGCAGATTGCTATTACATTTAAGAGTTGCATTGCAGCAAAAAAAACAAAATCAAAGCCACTGTGTTACATAACAGAATATCTGCCACAACAATTAGCATAGCCTTCCGATTCAGAGCTAAATGCCATTGAGAGGCAATCTCTATTTATCTGTCCATGTATAGGTTTGGATGTTTTATTGTTTTTTTTTTTGAGATATTAGTGTTCAAAAGTATTATTTTATAAGGTGATTTTTTAAAGAATTCTAATTCTGACCAAGACTGTATTTATTTCATTAAAAATACAGAAAAAAACTGTAATCTTTTGAAATATTGCAATTTAAAATTGTAACAACTGCAGAATTTTCTGCAGCATTATTCCAGTCTGCAGTGTCACGTGATTCTTCAAAAATCATTCTAATATGCTGATTTGGTGCTCATCAACAACCATTATTATCAATGTTGAAAACAGTTGTCCTGCCTAATATTTTTGTGGAGACTGTGATACGTTTTCTTCAGGAATCTTTGATGAACAGAAGTTGAAAAGAACAACATTTATTTGCAATAGAAATGTTTTGTAACATTATAACTATCTTTACTGTCACTTTTCATCAATTTAATGCATCCTTGCTGAATAAAAGTATTATTTTATCAAAAAAATATTTCATCATATTTAAATCATGTTTTGAGAAAAATAAACTTACACTAAATGAAATGCACAAAATGGAAATAAACACAAATCTAGTGTGCTACTGTATACATGCACACTTTCTTTATTTGCTACATATGATTCTCTAAAGATAAGTTGACACAACAAACACACCCTATAGCGCAGTGTAGAGGGTTTTGTTGTTGTTTTGTAATGTGATTAGAGCATCAGCTGTTCTAACAGTTATTGGGAATGTTATTTACTACACACCTGAAGGCAACAACTGACCTTTAACCAAAATAGAGAGAGACTTGACAGAGGTCATAGCTGGGAGGGAGTAGAGCGCTGTCATGTGAAGATGAAGCTTGTGGGTGAACATTCAGTTTGGTTTATCAGAGAGGAATATAGAAATCATAATACCAGGCATTGTTAGAATATTAGTGGTAAGAAAATGTGTTATAAAAAGTTAGAGAAAATGAGTTATCTGTTGCAGATGGAGAACAATGCGAGTCCAAACACTGATAATTTCCGATCAATTGTTTATTCTATTGATTTGGTAAGTAAGAGTGTAGTAACTTGATTAATGTGGCCCTTTAGGATACAATAAACCCCTTCATTGTGATAAAAGGTCTGTATCCTACAGTAAATCATCCCTTAATTTTATATTTTTAGACTAAAGTCATCAGCTTCATATTAATTAGA